ATGAGTGCCACGAATATACCATGGGTGCCATTAAGAATATGTTATGGACGCCGGGAATATTTGATGGCACCAAGAATATATCACAGCCACCAAGAATATACCACAGCCACCAAGAATATATCACAGACACCAAGAATATATCACAGCCACCAAGAATATATCACAGCCACCAAGAATATACCACAGCCACCAAGAATATACCACAGCCACCAAGAATATACCACAGGCACCAAGAATATACCACAGGCACCAAGAATATACCACAGGCACCAAGAATATACCACAGGCACCAAGAATATACCACAGGCACCAAGAATATACCACAGGCACCAAGAATATACCACAGCCACCAAGAATATATCACAGACACCAAGAATATATCACAGCCACCAAGAATATACCACAGCCACCAAGAATATATCACAGCCACCAAGAATATATCGCAGCCACCAAGAATATACCACAGCCACCAAGAATATACCACAGGCACCAAGAATATACCACAGGCACCAAGAATATGCCACAGCCACCAAGAATATATCACAGACACCAAGAATATACCACAGGCACCAAGAATATACTACAGGCACCAAGAATATACCACAGCCACCAAGAATATACCACAGACACCAAGAATATATCACAGCCACCAAGAATATACCACAGCCACCAAGAATATACCACAGGCACCAAGAATATACCACAGGCACCAAGAATATACCACAGACACCAAGAATATACCACAGGCGCCAAGAATATACTACAGGCACCAAGAATATACCACAGCCACCAAGAATATACCACAGACACCAAGAATATATCACAGCCACCAAGAATATACCACAGCCACCAAGAATATACCACAGCCACCAAGAATATACCACAGGCACCAAGAATATACCACAGACACCAAGAATATACCACAGGCACCAAGAATATACCACAGGCACCAAGAATATACCACAGCCACCAAGAATATACCACAGGCACCAAGAATATACCACAGGCACCAAGAATATACCACAGACACCAAGAATACACACAGGCACCAAGAATATACTACAGGCACCAAGAATATACCACAGCCACCAAGAATATACCACAGACACCAAGAATATATCACAGCCACCAAGAATATACCACAGCCACCAAGAATATACCACAGCCACCAAGAATATACCACAGGCACCAAGAATATACCACAGACACCAAGAATATACCACAGGCACCAAGAATATACCACAGGCACCAAGAATATACCACAGCCACCAAGAATATACCACAGGCACCAAGAATATACCACAGACACCAAGAATATACCACAGGCGCCAAGAATATACCACAGCCACCAAGAATATATCACAGCCACCAAGAATATACCACAGCCACCAAGAATATACCACAGGCACCAAGAATATACCACAGCCACCAAGAATATATCACAGCCACCAAGAATATACCACAGCCACCAAGAATATACCACAGGCACCAAGAATATACCACAGCCACCAAGAATATACCACAGGCGCCAAGAATATACCACAGCCACCAAGAATATATCACAGCCACCAAGAATATACCACAGCCACCAAGAATATACCACAGCCACCAAGAATATATCACAGACACCAAGAATATACCACAGGCACCAAGAATATACCACAGCCACCAAGAATATACCACAGCCACCAAGAATATACCACAGCCACCAAGAATATACCACAGCCACCAAGAATATACCACAGCCACCAAGAATATACCACAGGCACCAAGAATATACCACAGCCACCAAGAATATACCACAGCCACCAAGAATATACCACAGCCACCAAGAATATACCACAGGCACCAAGAATATACTACAGGCACCAAGAATATACCACAGGCACCAAGAATATACCACAGGCACCAAGAATATACCACAGCCACCAAGAATATACCACAGCCACCAAGAATATACCACAGCCACCAAGAATATACCACAGGCACCAAGAATATACCACAGCCACCAAGAATATACCACAGCCACCAAGAATATACCACAGCCACCAAGAATATACCACAGGCACCAAGAATATATCACAGCCACCAAGAATATACTACAGGCACCAAGAATATACCACAGACACCAAGAATATACCACAGCCACCAAGAATATACCACAGCCACCAAGAATATACCACAGGCACCAAGAATATACCACAGCCACCAAGAATATACCACAGCCACCAAGAATATACCACAGCCACCAAGAATATACCACAGGCACCAAGAATATACTACAGGCACCAAGAATATACCACAGGCACCAAGAATATACCACAGGCACCAAGAATATACTACAGGCACCAAGAATATACCACAGACACCAAGAATATACCACAGCCACCAAGAATATACCACAGACACCAAGAATATACCACAGCCACCAAGAATATACCACAGACACCAAGAATATACCACAGACACCAAGAATATACCACAGCCACCAAGAATATAC